TTTTTTTTTTTTTTTTTTTTTTTTTTTTTTTTTGTCTTTTGTCTTTTTCCGTGTCCGGCAACGGATCGCAACCCTCAGTGTTGCCCCCGTACCGGACCAGGGACCGGCAACGGGATTGCAAACCTCGGCGTTGCTCCCGTGCCTCGCTCAGCCAGTGAGCGGGAGCCGGTCCGTATGTGGGATCCGAACCCTCGGGCGGGAGCGCCACCGCGCTTCCCAAGCGGCGCACTACCCAGTGCGCCACCGGGCCGGCCCGAATTTAGAGATTTTTTAATGTTAAGCTTTTGATTGTGGGTTTAAAAATTTTTATACTTAGAATTTGTTTAATTTCTTTATTTTTTATTTTTTATTTTTTTGTCTTTTGTCTTTTTCCGTGTCCGGCAACGGATCGCAACCCTCAGTGTTGCCCCCGTACCGGACCAGGGACCGGCAACGGGATTGCAAACCTCGGCGTTGCTCCCGTGCCTCGCTCAGCCAGTGAGCGGGAGCCGGTCCGTATGTGGGATCCGAACCCTCGGGCGGGAGCGCCACCACGCTTCCCAAGCGGCGCACTATCCAGTGCGCCACTGGGCCGGCCCTAAAAACCAATTTTTAAGCTTTTAAGCATAACTTATTTTATTTCATCTATACGTCTAGAAATATTTTTATGAAAGTGAGAACATTTGTACTTTTTCTTTAATTCATATTCAGTTAAGCCTCAAGTTTCAAAGATTTAATTTTTTAAACATTTAACTCCACCTACATACCAAATTTCCTTATACAAAACATAGTTTTAAATTTAATATATCTAATTCTGTTAAACCTTTTAAATATCTATCTAGGCAGACTTACAAATCTTTTCAATAAAATCTTGATAAATACACAGCTTTTGTAAAGCTAATGAACTGGGCTTATAAATTTAGTAAATCAAATTACCTTTTGTGTCTCAGAATACAGTCCCCAGCTAAGATGGCAGGCTCATGTGGCATTTCAGATCTCTTTTTTTTTTTTTTGACCGGTCAGGGGATTGCAACTGTCGGCACGGTGTGGTCTGTACCACGCTCAGCCAGTGAGCACACCGGCCATCCCTATATAGGATCTGAACCCGCCGCCTCGGCACTCCCAGCACTGCACTCACCCGAGTGAGCCATGGGGCCAGCCCCCTGATCTCTTCTTTTTAAAAAAATGAAACAATATTGATTTTAAAACTTATTTCTTTTTTTTTTTTTTTCCTTTTTGTCTTTTTTCGTGTCCGGCAACGGATCGCAACCCTCAGTGTCGTGCCCTTACCGGACCGGGACCGGCAATGGGATCGCAGCCCTCGGTGTTGCTCCCACACCTCGCTCAGCCAGTGAGCGGGAACCGGTCTGTATGTGGGATCCGAACCCTCGGCGGGAGCGCCACTGCGCTCCCAAGCGGCGCACTGTAGCAGTGCACCACCGGGCCGGCCCTAAAACTTATTTCTATGCCTGTTTTCTAGTTGATCACAAATGAGTTTTTAGTTTATTTCTTCCTAATTTCTGCACTTATTTATTTACGTTTCTACAATTACAGTAATCCTACTTGATCCAAAAAGGAAAGCTACTGTTTCAAAGAGCCAAGGTTACAGGTCCTGGATTATTGGCTGATTAATCTTTTTGCCCAAGAAAATTTGAATTTGAGCACACAGAATGGGCCTTTAATTCTGTTTTCTTAGACCTGGGGCAACTGCCAAAACCCTTGGTCGTATTTCATCACTGTGATGAACTATTGAATAACCACTTGCATTATAGCCAAATTTTAGACTACAGTTGTAAGCGGTTCTGTGCTAATCACTGTGATGAACTATTGAATAACCACTTGCATTATAGCCAAATTTTAGACTACAGTTGTAAGCGGTTCTGTGCTAATTTTGACATAAGACATTATTCGAATATAACGACTTGTTTACACTATTGGCTCTAATCAGTTTGGTAATTCCCATTGGTCTTCATCTTTCATGTCGTTCTAACATTCGAAATCTCACAGTAAGGTTGGGAGTGAAGGTCAGGGAGGGGGTGCAGCTGTGAACTAAGGAATTCATAGGCCTTATTTTTGTGGGAGAGATACCTGGTTGGGGGCATAAGAGGCCCTGGTGTCAGTGATGGGGAGTTAATGAAAAGGGGAAGGAGGTGAAAAGAAGCAGGGAAGGAAATGTTAGGAGGGAGAAAAGTGGGGCCGGCCTGGTGGCGCACTGCTATAGTGCGCCGCTTGGGAGCGTGGCGGCGCTCCCGCCAAGGGTTCGGATCCCACATACAGACCGGTTCCCGCTCACTGGCTGAGCGAGGTGCGGGTGTGACATGGAGGGTTGTGATCCCATTGCCGGTCCCGGTCCGGTACGGGTGCAACACTGAGGGTTGCAATCTGTTGCCGGACACGAAAAAAGACAAAAAGGAGAAAAAAAAGAAGGGAGAAAAGTGAAGTGAGATGTAGGTGATGAATAATAATAAAGAACATAAAAGAAAGGAAGCAATGTGCAAATGAAAAGCAGAACAGACATCAAACTGTACATGTAAAAATTCAGAACATTTCAGACAAAAGTTAAAAACCAAAACAAAACAAAAAACACCAGGAGAGAAATGAAGAGGTAGTAGGAGAAAGAGGTAGCAGAAAAAAATATGAAAGGAGAAAAGGGTATAAGAACAGTTAAACTGCAGGGAGATAAACAGTAGATTAAAAGAGAGACATCAGAACAGTAGGAATAGAAATAGAAATAACCAGAAAAAGTTTAGCATTTCAGATTTTTGCTATTGTCACATTCGAGTCTGTACTGTGTTCTGCACTCAGACATTTCTTTTCTCTGACACTGCACATCTTGTCTGAATAATTGTGACGGAATTTCACATTACCGTGGTCTTAATCAGGCAGTCAAACTGAGAGCTGTTTTTCTGACCCCAGATATTTGCTTTGAACCACCCTGACATCCCTGTTCACCCACTCATGTCATTGGTTGGAGAGTCACCCTGGCCTGTGATAGTGGGATGTTTCCCTCTTGTGGATGCCGAGATCACCTGTGTGGCTGCAGCATGACCTGCAGCTCACAGCTCCACTCCTCACTTCTAAGCTGACATCATCAGTGGAAATACCTTATTCCTCTACATGCAGCCCAGTGTGACCCCCTTTTTTTTTTCCCCAACCAGTAAGGGGATCATAACCCTTGGCTTAGTATTATTTGCACCATGCTCAGCCAGTGAGCGGACCGGCCATCCCTATATAGGATCCGAACCCGCGGTGCTCACTCTCCTGAGTGAGCCATGGGGCCAGCCAGTGTGACCCTTTCTGTCTATGCTTAGGTATCCAGTAATCTCAGATACAAAAGCCTAACTTGCCTAGATCTTTGTTTGAAGGTAGGATATCTCCCTAATTAATTGATGGGTTATAAATAAATTCACACTAAGTAGACAAGGTAAGAGGCAAGCCTAGGGAGACGCTCGTGTCCTTCATAACTGGTCTTGTGAAATCAGTCATCAGATAACCAGGAAGTGTGCTGTGTGAAGATTGGGCTTCTGTCGCATGAGGCAGTAGGGTAAGTATCTAATGGAGGTAAATTAAAGTGTGGGAAAGCCCATGAGTCAGTGGATCCTGCTCTAGGTGTGGAGGAGGCCAAAGACCCAGCAGAAGAACCTGCAGAGGGCCGGCCCGTGGCTCACTTGGGAGAGTGTGGTGCTGATGGCACCAAGGCCACGGGTTTGGATCCCTATATAGGCATGGCTGATTGGCTCACTTGGGAGAGCGTGGTGCTGATGGCACCAAGTCAGGGGTTGGGATCCCCTTACCGGTCATCTTTTTAAAAAAAAAAAAAAGAAGAAGAAGAACCTGCAGAGAAGAGGTAACATGTGAAGGGATCCTTTTCTTTGATGAAGCCACTTTGCAGAGGCACTGAAGTCAAATACTTGCTGACCTTTATGACTTGATGATCCTATTCTTTTTCTAGGCCAGAGAAAGCTAACATTTGTATTTTCTGTTTCTTGGATCAGGTGCTGAAACCAAGAACGTACAGTTACTTGTTCCAAAAACTGAGATAAGTGACGAAGCCGAGAAACCCCTCATAATATCGGGAAGAATCCAGAAGGCTGACCCTCAAGGAAGACCTGAGTTAGAAGCCTGTGAAAAAGGAAACATGTTAAAGAGGCAGACAATAAAGAGGGAAAAGAAAAATTTCAGACAAGTGACAGTACAGAACTGTCACTTACCCGAAAGATTCAAAGAGGAGGAAGACCAGAAGCGTAAGAAACCAGGGGGAAAATATAGCCTTAGTTCTGGCCCTGTTAAAAATCAGAAAATCCAGCCTGGGCAAAAACCTTTTACATGTAGTGTGTGTGGGAAAGGCTTTAGTCAGAGTGCAAACCTCGTTGTGCATCAGCGAATCCACACTGGGGAGAAACCCTTTGAGTGTCACGAGTGTGGGAAAGCCTTCATTCAGAGTGCAAACCTTGTTGTGCATCAGAGAATCCACACTGGACAGAAACCTTATGTTTGCTCAAAATGTGGAAAAGCGTTCACTCAGAGTTCGAATCTGACTGTACATCAAAAAATCCACTCCTTAGAAAAAACTTTCAAATGCAGTGAATGTGAAAAAGCCTTCAGTTATAGCTCACAACTTGCTCGACACCAGAAAGTCCACATTACAGAAAAATGTTATGAATGTAATGAATGTGGGAAAACATTTACCCGGAGCTCAAACCTCATTGTCCACCAGAGAATCCACACTGGGGAAAAGCCTTTTGCCTGTAATGATTGCGGCAAAGCCTTCACCCAGAGTGCCAATCTTATTGTACATCAGCGAAGCCATACTGGTGAGAAGCCATATGAGTGTAAAGAGTGTGGGAAAGCCTTTAGTTGTTTTTCACACCTTATTGTACACCAGAGAATTCACACTGCAGAGAAACCTTACGATTGCAGCGAATGTGGGAAAGCCTTCAGTCAGCTCTCTTGCCTTATTGTCCACCAGAGAATTCACAGTGGAGATCTTCCTTATGTGTGTAATGAGTGTGGAAAGGCCTTCACATGTAGCTCGTACCTACTGATTCATCAGAGAATCCATAATGGGGAAAAACCTTACACGTGTAATGACTGTGGCAAGTCCTTCAGGCAGAGGTCGAGCCTCACTGTGCACCAGAGAACCCACACTGGAGAGAAACCCTACGAATGTGCGAAGTGTGGTGCGGCTTTCATTTCTAACTCTCACCTCATGCGGCACCACAGAACCCATCTTGTAGAATAACAGCTTAAGGAAGAAGACGATCTCCAGCTGTTGGCCATAACCTACTGCCCCCAAATTAGACACTTCTTTGCTGTTTTCTTCCTCCTTTGTAAAAACGAGGCCTACGTCCTTAAAAGTTACAGTTTTCAGGAATGCAGCACAAAACACAAGACAAGGATTTCAGAGGCTAATCTAAAGAAAAAACTAAGCACCTAAAGGCAAGGACTTTAACTGTGTCCTAAGCAGTCATGTTGTCTGAAATGGAATGTAGCTTTCTTAGGAATGAGTTATACAAAGCTAAGTGATAAAGATTCTATTTGAGGAAAGGTCCTTTTTGCTTAATCTTGTTTTTTAAAACTGGTAATTTTTTTTTTTTTTTTTTTTAAAGATGACTAGTAAGGGGATCTTAACCCTTGACTTGGTGTTGTCAGCACCAGGCTCAGCCAGTGAGCTAACCGGCCATCCCTATATGGGATCCGAACCCGTGGCCTTGGTGTTATCAGCACTGCACTCTCCCGAGTGAGCCACGGGCCGGCCCAAAACTGGTAATTTTTTGAGCATCAAGAATGTCAGCCTGGTTGAATTCTGGAGTTTTGAAACTTGTATTCTAGTATATTGGGTTAAGCAGTGACTAGTTAAGGAAACTACTTGGGATGGCAATTCAACAACTCACCTGTGAACATTTATAAGCTTTTTGTTCCCTAGGTAATTTAAAAAAAAAAAAAAAACTGAAAAAGTTATTAATCATCTACTGCTAAAAATGGACAGAAGCAGGAAATGGTCTTTTCCCTTACTGTCTATACCTCCTGAACCTTGGTATTGTAAAGCTCTGGGATTTCTGAGTCTATTCTAACCATTCCCTGGTCCGCATGGCCAACCACTCAAGGATTGATGGAGACACCACACAGCAGCTATGTTCATTTGCTATAATAGAAAACTCTCCAAACAACTCAGCTCCCAATTCCCACTGCATTCCAGTTGGGTGAGGTGAAACAGCCCCCTTCCCAGATAGAGAAGTCAAAGAATAAAGCTTGCCTAGAGGCATGCCCAACTTGTTTCTGCTCTCATTCTGCTCTAGTCCAGCCAGGGTCTCAGTGTGGGTTTCATGCTTACATTCTGGATGGTATTTAGAAGAAATGGTGGAGCTCTCATTCTGAGAGGACCAAAGAGTAAAGTGAAGGAAGAGGGAGGAGGTGGAGTGGGATTCCTAAGGTCTTAATTCGGTTTTTTTTTTTTTGAGAAGTTCAGAGGTATTGGAATGTGAAAACTTTTAGAAGGATGAAGAAACTGGCTAAGGTAAGATATTTTTGTTACCATTGAGCCTTTACTCCTGGAAAAATGATTTTTAAAACTATGCAATAGGTAGAGTTCTGTAACAGTATTGCCTTGTATTTATATAGAACTTTTATTCTTTGTTGTGTATCTTTATGTATAAAATCATGATACTTGGTGGTTATCTCATGCTTTCACACACACCATTACCTTAATCCTTATAATACTTAAAGAGGTATTTGCCCATTTACTTGAGAGTGGCCATTTAATGCAAGGCCAAGTAACAAGGGACAGAACCTATATCCAAATCCAAGACCTAAATCCAGGTTCTCTTTGTTCTGCCATGCTGCTCACATAACCATCCGTGAACCCCACCCAGACCAGTGGGGGAGCCTGAGAATGGAGTATATAGTCTCATTTTCAGGTGAGGAAGCTGAGGTGATGGATTTGGGGGTGTGCCTTAGGAAGTGTGATCAGAAAGCAGCAATCTAAGATTGGAATTTTGGTCTCATGATTTCTGCATGCAAGGGCATTTTTCATAAGCGCTGAGCCTGGTGATAAGCAGTCTGGTGCAGCTCTCATGCAGAAGTCCTGTGAATTATTGTCTCATTTCTGCAAGACTAAATAAATATTAATCACAGTGTTTTCTAGTTTACAGAGCACTTTCACATGTGGAAGGCGTACACAAAAAAGCTTATTAGTTTCTTCTTAACTGCAACTGCAGTCTTTTGTCAGAGCTTATGCAAATTTTTCTCTGGTGTCATTCTAACTCACAGAGACACAAATGCAAGGATTCAAAAGTAGGAATACGAAAAACCCATGCCCTCATTGACCCTAACTATTAGTGACTGTTCCTGTCCCTCTGTATGGGAGTGGAGAGACCCAAGGATAACACCATGTATCTGCTAAAATTAAGAACAAATTATTTTCGATGCCTGATCAGGAAGCTGAGGACAGCGAGAGAACAGATCTGAAGATTTGGGAAGATCTGTGACCTTGACTCACCAAGAGACCAAAAGTGTATTTTCCTAAAAGATAAGAGCAGCTGGGATTTATGACCATTAAGACAAACTTTTAGCTTCACATCATATATTCATCCTCGTAGTTGAATACTCTGTCGTGGATGATTGTGATTTCCTTGCTAAAGATTCCTATTCATAGGTAGTTTCAGAAATTGACCCAGGTGATTCTGCTGCAAAGCTAGGTCTGAGAATCACTGACCCAACCTTGCTGTAAAGCAGTAGTTTTTAACCTTGGCTGCATGTTAGAGTCACCTAGAACACTTTTAAAAATTTCTATTCCCAGCTCCCAGTATTTTTTAAAACTTTGGAGGGGATTACAATGTGCAGCCAAGGTTACGAGCCACTGTAATCAAGTAAAGACTGCAGACCAAGAATGTGTGTGAACATCGGTGGAGGGTAGGGGGAGCTTACTGGAGCTTTATAAGGATCTGTAGGTACAAAGTGTTCTATGTAGTTTAGGCGAAACAAGACACTTCCTCTACATTGGCTGGACTAGGTGTCCTGCAGTGCCCCTGCCAAGCCTTAGGTGTTAGGATTCTGTGACCTAACTTATTTGTATTTAAGTGAATATACAAAACATTTATATGACCAAACCAGGTTTTAAGTAAGTTTTATGTATATATTATAACTTTTTACATTTCTAGTTGTATTTCATCTCTAGATCTAGGTTTCCACAAACCTACAATGAAGTGTAGGACCTCCGATCCTGTACAAATCAGATGAGCCAAGTAGATTACTAGATAGATTAAATCCTTCCCCAGCTAATAACAGCTCTCCCTCCCAATTCATTTCCAGCCCTCAAAATAAATTACAGCCTGCCGTTTTCTTTACAGTTTCTAAAAGGGAGGAACGACCACCCGTTGTCAGATTTAGTTTAAATTTTCTTGTTCTTTTGGGTCATCTTCCTTGGCTGGTCTTGCTAGGAGTGACTGGGAACTCCAAAGCCCCATTTTCCTAAGTTGCTGAGCGCTATCAGACTTCGTCTTCAAAGAGATCTGTGCTAGGCCTAGTGATTGGCATTAAGAGTAGAGCCAGGAAATATGTTCTCACCCTCCAGTGAGACTACCAGATATGTATTAAGTGGAGCACAATGATGCAACAAAACATAATGAATTTATTTAGTGGTGCTTTGGGAGCACGGGGGAAAGACTATCAGTTCCTAACACATACAAATGTATTCACTCTCATTTAGCCATGAATTCCACCAAGCTCTGGAAGAGGTGTCTTTGGGCAGAGCTAATCCTTCCTCTGTGTTCTGGATCCCCTCCCTTCTTTGCCTAGGTAGTTGTCCCTCTCCCACATCTGTCACTTCTCCACTTGTTGCTCCATCCCTTATGCCTAAATTTTCTGGAGTTGCCGGCCCTTTGAGAATCTGATGGAGATTATGGATCCTCTCCCTAAGAAATGTACATTGTCTATTCAGTTTTATGCTTATTTGTGGGGTCATACAGGCTGAAGCCAATCCGTGAATCTTCTAGGGCCTAAAGTCTCACCTGACGATGCACTACATAATCACCAGTGACATTTTTAAAAAAAAGGTCAGACTGCAGAATCTCTAACAGTGTTGCCCAAACACATAACCTTTTAAATCTTGGATTCCCTCACTAACCAAATGGTGGCGTTATTCCCACTACCTGGGGCACCCAGATTGGATACTCAGGAGGCATTTCTGGCTTCCTCTATATCATTCGTTTATTTTAAAAAAATGTTGTACATTATCTTTTATGACAGACATCATACTACATCCTGGAGTGCCAAAGCAAACAAGGTCTACTAACCCTGTTCCCAGGTCTCTTACGGAAAAAAAAGTCTGGATCCTTTAACATGACTTACAAACTCTTCATAATCTCTTTCCAGCCTCATCTCTTCACTTTCATGCATCTTTTACTGCAGCATAGAGGCATGTGCATGCTCTTCTCTGCCTGTAATACCTCATCGCTACTCCCCACCCAACCTTCCTCTACTTTCCTAACTTTAGGCTTCCTTTAAGATTCTGTTCAAATCTCATCTTTGGAAAGCCTCTGACTGCCCTGTGGCCAAGGGCATATTGAGAGGTGTATTTAGAAGTATAAAAAAGCATGATATGATATATCCAGAGTTTTACTTTATGCTTCAAAGTGAAAACAACCTGGATTCAACATTGCGTATATAGTACAGTTCTCACATACTGTTGCTGTTACGTATACAATATACTGCTAAGAAGTATATAGATAAATTACCTGAAAGAAATACAATATACTGCTAAGAAGTATATAGATAAATTACCTGAAAGAAATATGAGAAAATATTTTAAGTGGTTAAGTGACTTGTTCACAGCCATACAGATGGTAAATTTCAGAGCTTAGATTCAAATCCAGGTCCTCTGGATAATAGGATTATGGGTGATTAAAAGTTTTTTATTTGTTTGCTTTTTAGTAATTTCTGTATTTTCTGTAAGGGGCAAGAATTTTATGGTAAAAAATAAATTATTAAATTTACATATTTAGTTTCATTGTATTAACTATATATAGTATCTTGGTTCTGCATTTTATAAGATGTTAGAGGTACCCTTCCCTTCTTTTCTTTTTCCACCTCCTTGCCTCTGACATTGTCAGGTCTGATAATTCTTAAACTCTATTCTGTAATCATAGTCTTTTATGCTTTATTTATTGCTTTATTCTAAAAGCTGAAAATAAACAGCTTGAAAATGATTATAACCATGTGAATATTGTTCACTGCATACATTAGCTTACTGTGTTCTTATTTCCTTTTTGAAATTGCTCTTTGTTTTTACTGAAGTATCTAGTTGTCTTTCTTTTCACCTTGTAAATGATTGCTTTTAGCATATCCTTAATCATTTGCACATTCTCCATCCAGTTAAATACTCTATTGAGTCCCTTTTTTTATCTGCATATTCCCTTTCCAGGGACCTCCAGCTTCCTGCTCTAGTCTGTCTTTGATGCCCT